TGAAAGACTGTTTGCTAAGCCTTGCTGACTGTGAATGAAAGGAATTCACAGTCGTGTAAATAAAAGGGGTTTTGCCGGGACCAAGAGTCTGCTTCATGCTTTCTAAGGAAGTTTCTGGGTCAGAACACATCCCTGTAGAGAGGTTGAATCTCAACTACGCCAATACTTACTGACAGTGGTCGTGCCTCCGGTCAACGCAGCCTTCGTTCCTTGATAAAAGTCATCAGCTACCGTTACGCCTTGAACGGATTTCTGCAGAGAACTGTTGCTGTCAATACCGCCTGGAAGGATCATGAGGCCGGTTGCCTCAATGGTTTTCGGGCTTCCGGTAACAACCAGATTCTCTCCAATTTGTCTAACAGGAAGAAAGCAGGGATGCTTACTCTTTTATCAAGGGAGGCCCTCAAACATCTCAAATGTACATTTTACCCTTTAAATCAGGGATGTCAAACTCGATTTCATTGAGGGCCTCTGTTGCGGCCCACGAGACTCAGACGATGGGGAGGTTGGGGAGGAACTTGGGCCAGTCCTGGAGTCTGGGGAAGGCTCTGATGAGGGCTCTGCGTCAGAGGCAGAGAGGGGGCCAGAGCCAACCTATATTTCCCAGCCACTGGAGTGGCAGCTGCCCTTGGAGTCAGAGAGGAGTGTGGAGGAGGAACAGGCCTCAGATGCGCGTATGCGCAGAGCTGTTAGGAGAGGAGAACAACGGAGGACAAGGAATCGACCCGGGAAGCAAATCACACATGGATGTTGAACAGCCCCTCCCTGTCTGGGGAATAAATAGAAGGAAAAGGGGAGTGGTGGTCGTAGGAGACAACAGTTCGTATTTCTGAAGATTTTGCTCATTGTGTTTCGTGCATCAAAGACTGCTTGCCAGAACTTAATTTGCAGTCTTTCAGCTACAACCTTTCGGCCTGGCAATTATCACAAGGAACTGATGAGGTCTGTACTGCAGTTAACTCCTTGCAGGACTAACGCCTGGCTGAATGCCATTAATTCACAAGAGGGAAATATAAGAGGGGTTTTTCGTGACAAGGAGTCTGTTTCTTGCTTCTGCTAAGGCTGGGTCAGAACAGCCTTATCAGGGTTGTGTCGACCTTGGGGGGGGCACAGGGTGTGGCCAGCTCGACGTCACTTGTGTCGGGCGTGCCTGTGGCAGCCCAAGCTCAGTTTTCGGCTGCAACCGCCTCCTGCAACCCTCTACTAGCGAAAACCGAGGTCCCGTGTGCAGCCCTCGCAAGCTCTTTTTCAACTGGGATGACCTCCTGCAACCTACTTCCGGTAAAATCCTTCACCCTCCCAAGTTCTGTTTTTGCTGGCAGAGGCACCATGGGCAGGTCCTTCACAGTTTCCGGAGCAGCCCTGTGGGCCAGATCCAGCCCCCAGGCCTTAGGTTTGACACCCCTGCCTTAAGGGGTCACCTGCCCCTGTGCTAGGTTCAGCAGAGCAGTCATAAGGGTGAAAAATGGCTTTTTTTCAATACTGTGGTAACTCTGAATGGTCACTAAATGAATTGTTGTAATTCGAGGACTACCTTTGATCGTTTAACCTTACAGCTGCCCACTTTTTGCCTCCCTATGTGTCATCTTTTTAATCCGAGCGATTACCAAACCAAGTTAGTCCAAAACTTCCTAAATAAAAGAAGCCGCATCTTTTGCATCAAACGAAGGCCGGAATAAATTTCAGGGTTCCAACACTAACTTGATAAGCCCGTCTTCCACGTAGACATCGGCGTAGAAGGAGTGGTCATCGTTGATAATTCGTCCGTTCTTGATTAATAAACCATCGCCCTGAATGGACAAATAAAAAGAAATGGTGAGGACAACGTTCAAAAAAATTAAGATCGTACGATCTTGTAGCACGACGTCAGGATCTAAAAGAAGGAGCGACCGGTAGTGGAAATTTTGAGTAGTTCAGAGAACTGGCAAATACCAACTCTGGTGGGCCCCGCCCTCCCACTCCCGTCGTTCCCTGTCCTATATTCCCTTGTTTTTTAGCTCAGCTGATTCGCGCAGGAGAGTGGATTGCGGCACCTCAGCAGAGCTAAAAATACAGCTTAGCTTACCAGCGCTGACACCAAGGGCGGTCTTTGCTGTGCGCGCAACGCATGCTCTCATAGAACTGGTAAGAGAAGATTTGGAATCCCACCACTGATTACGGATTTAAAGAATTGTGGGTTTTTTCATAATAGTGGAGCAGAATTCCTCCTTCCGTGCATACCACACACCTCTTCGATATGGCTCCTGAAGCGAAATCCTTCCGTTTCTGAATTGGAAGAAGAGCCAGACACTCTGGGACAGGGGTGTCCAACCTTGGCAACTTGTGGACTTCAATTCCCAGAATTCCCCACCCAGTCGGCTGGGGAATTCTGGGAGTTGATTTTAAAGTTCCTAAGTTGGAGAACTTTGCTCTAAGACAGGAGTGAGGGAAAATGGCCCCTTTATGACTTGTGGACTTCAACTCCCAGAATTCCCCAGTCAGCCATGCTGTCTTAAGAATTCTGGGAGTTGAAGTCCACGGATCTTGAAGTTCCTAAGGTTGGACATTCTTGTTCTAAGACAGGGGTAGGACAAAATGGTCCCTTTATGACTTGTGGACTTCAACTCCCAGAATTCCCCAGTCAGCCACGCTGTCTTGGGAATTCTGGGAGTTGAAGCCCATGGATCTTAAAAGTTCCTCAGTTGGAGAACCTTGCTCTAAGACAGGAGTGAGGAACAAAATGGTCCCTTTATGACTTGTGGACTTCAACTCCCAGAATCCCCCAGTCAGCCATGCTGCCTCGGGAATTCTGGGAGCTGAAGTCCACAAGTCATAAAGGGGCCATCGTTCCCCATCTCTGCTAAGAAAATTCTAGAAAGATCTAAATTGGCCCTCAAGCTGACTCAAACTAGGCTATGAATCGGAGAAGACGAGCGGGCTTCATCTGATAAAAACGAGGAAAGGCTTGCATAAAAGTTCAGCTCCAGCTGAACTACCCACAACAATCACACGCTTTTTAGTCCTGCTGCTTCCCTCGATGCCCGGCCTGGTTCTTTGTGTCAAAGGAATTCCTGACAGTCCTCATTATCGTCTGTCATCTGTCAGTCTTGCGATAAATTCTGACTCAGTACCTCCGAGCTGGAGGCTCCGAAGCAGAGAATGGCTTTCAAAGCATCCTCGGGGGGGAAACCATGTGGTTCTTTCATGCGCAGTCAGGCAGGGAGCTGAATTTGACCCAAATAAGGCTTTCAGCATCCAACTGAAGTAGGCCTTCCATTAACCATGATGGTTTTTGAGGTTGTTTGGTGTGTTTCAGAGCCTTCAAGTCATTGTCGAGTGCTGTTGTGGCCCGCCAGTGGAGCTGACAGCAGATTTGACAGTTCAGCCGAACCGGTAGTGGCCTAGAAGCAGCAGCAACCAATGCCCGCCATGCCCCCGAACCGGATCTCCTACGGTGGCGCCATCTTGATTTTTGGTTCTGTGGATGCACAGAAAAATTTATGCGGGCACCGAGCCGGCAGGAATGCCGGCAGCAACTCACCCCTGACCTACCTACCCAAAAAGACAATTCTCACGTCTGCCCAAAATTCACCAGGCGAACCATAGCTAGCACCTTCTATTATTCCTCAGGCGTTGTTGGTCTCACAGTCAACCATATGTTCAGGATTTATGCCCCAGAGCTCACCGTAACAGCATTGCCAAAAAGGCATTAAGCGTTTGTTAACCTAATTTTGCGAAGCTTCTTCTCCGGTAACGCTGTACTGCAAACTAGGGCATACAAAACCTTTGCCAGACCAATCCTCGAATACAGCTCGTCTGCCTGGAATCCACACTGTATTTCGGACGTTAATACAATTGAAGAGAGTTCAGAGGTATTTCACGGGAAGAGTCCTCCGCTCCTCTGCTCACAAGAGAATCCCTTATGCCACCAGGCTTCAAATTTTGGGCTTAGACAATTTANCGCCTCCCTCGCCCCCTGCCCGGCCGGCTTGGCCCGGCGCCTGCCTCTCGGCCGGCCTCTCCGGAGCGCCCCGCTCCAGCCAGCCGCGTCAGCCCGATCGGTATTTGAATAGCACAAAGGAACCGCCTCGTCTGGATTGGCGGCTCGGGCCCCAGGTGGGCGGGCGGCGGCTGCCAATCCAAGACCAAGGTGCCCGCAGATAGGTCCCGGGCTCGGGGGGCGGGCTCGGGGACGGGGTATAAATAGCGGGGGCTGGGCATAGCCGCGCTTAGTGCTGGCCCTGCCGAGCGCGGACGGCCGGGCGGACGAGCCAGCAGGCAGCGCCGGGCATCGGGTGGGGTTGGCGGCTGCTTTCGCTGCCTTTCCCGAGTGGGTGGCATCCAGCGCCTGGCACGGCCGGTCCTGCCCGGCGCGGCCCCCGTGGGAGCAGTGGCCCCGGGCAGCGCCGGCCTCGCCGCGGGTGGATGCGGGCCCGGTGGCCGTCGGGCGGCCGAAGCTGAGCGGCCGGCGCGGAAGATGGAGTGCGCGCTGGACGCCCAGAGCCTGATCAGCCTCTCGCTGCGCAAGATCCACATGTCGCGCACGCAGCGCGGCGGGCTGAAGCTGCACAAGAACCTGCTGGTCTCCTACGTGCTCCGCAACGCCCGGCAGCTCTACCTGAGCGAGCGCTACGCCGAGCTCTACCGCCGCCAGAGCAGCGCCCTGCCCGGCCAGCCGCCGCACCCGCTGTACCTCGACGGAGCCGCCGCCGCCGCCGGCGCCCTGCCCTTGCCGCCCGCGCCCACCCTCGGCGCTCCCCCGACGCTGGGCGAGCTGGCCGCCGCCGCCGACTTCCAGACGCTGCCCGCCAACGCCGGACCCGACGGCCTCCAGCTGCGGAGCTGCGCCCTGGCCAGGCCGGACTCGCCGTCCATGCTGCTCCTGCCGCCGCCGCCGCCGCCCACCGACGACGCTGCTTTGGGGCTGCCCGGCGCGGCGGGCGTGTGCCGGGACTCGCCGCTGCCCTTCTACCCGCCGCGCGGCTACCCCAGCTCGGGCTCCGCAGGAGGAGGAGGAGGAGGCGGCAGCGGAGGCGGCGGGGCTGACTTCGGGATCCCGTGCGCGCCCTCGGGGATGCCGCCGTCGGGGCCCGCGGCGCACTGCTCGAGCCGCACCACCGTGCTGGATCTGGACACGCACGTGGTGACCACGGTGGAGAACGGCTACCTGCACCAGGACTGCTGCTGCGCGCCCTGCCCGCCAGGCGGCCTCGTCCCCGCCGTCGTGGCCTCCTCTGCCAGCTGCTGCCCGCCGCCACCGCCGCTGCCTCCGCCCAGCCCGGGCGCCAAGCGCAAGTACGAAACGGCGGGCGGCGCTGGGGACCCGCCGCTGTTGCCGCCTGCGCCGCCCGGTGCGCCTTCGCCCTTCGCCTCCTGTGCCAAGCGCGCCCGCTTGGAAGGTTTCCCCGCCGCTGGACAGGCGCCCTCGCCTTCCTCCTCCTCCCACCCCTCCCACCCCTCCTCCTCCTCCTCCTCGCCGGACGCTTCCAACATCTCCAGCCTGATCTCCATCTTCGGCTCCAGCTTCAGCGGCTTGGTGAGCCGGCCGGCGCCAGCGGCACCGCCGTCGGACTCGGAGCAGCTCTCCAGCGGACAGCTGTGCGGCAAACAGGCGCTGGCGAGTTTGGGGGCTTGGACGCGGGCCATCGTGGCCTTTTGAGAGCGGCCGGGGTCGGCTTTTGCGGGGCTCTCCCCGCCGCTCGGCCCCTTTTCGGACGCTGTGGGGGACGGCTGTGATTATTGGGGGGTGGGCGGGAGACCCTGAAACAAAGACTGGACTTGCGGGGGTCTGGGCTGAACCTGGGAGGGGAGGGGGAAAGGCTTTTGGGGAGGGTGGACGTCGAACCGAGCGAATGTTTTCTAAAATTTGGACCACGGAGTTTCCCGGGGCCACCGGAGCTCAATTTTTGCAGCGGAGGGACGGCCGAGGAGAGGCGAGGCGATTCGGGCAGCGAGGAACGCGGAAGACGGGCGAATAACTTTTCCTTTGTTTCTTGATTTCCCGGCGCTTTTGAGTTGGAGGGGGGGGCTCTGGGGTTGCCTGTTTTCTGGGCTCCAAGCCGCCTTTGGTTTCCTTTTTCTTTTAAAGAGGAGGGGAGGTCATTTTTAAAAAAAACCCGGGGGGGAGGTGGGACCGTGAACGAGCGCGAATGCCGCATGGGAGGGGGGGAAGGCCATATTTTTTGGGGGGGGGTCTCGGTGGGGCAAGAGTTAGTTCTGCCTGCTTGGAAGGGGGCATTGTCGGGGGGGGGGGGAACCTAAAGTGGAAAATTGGAGACTGGCCCCTACTTGGAAAGAAGGCGATTTTTCCTTTCCCGGCTGTAAGGCTGGGTGAGAAATATTTTTAAAGGCTTCCGAGTTCTATTTTAAAAGCCCCTTGAAAATGCTGGGTTTTCAACGGATTTCGCTCTAGAGTCACTGCCCCCCAACTCAAATGTACTGTATAAACCCCCCCCCCCTCACTTTGCAGCCGCTTTGGGTTTTGAGGAGGGACCTTTAGTGGACATGGGCCTCCCCTCCACCGAACCCTTTTTTNTGCCCCTTAGCTGGATCCTAAAGGAAATATAGAAATTAAAAAAAAATTGGTCTAACCCTTCCTTCTACAGTTGTTTCACCTTACGCTGCAGAAGAAAATCACATTTTGACATAAAACAAGGGCAAATTAGTTCCACTGGGGGCTTGCAATTAATTGCTGGGGTTAACAAGTCTGCCTCAGCGCTCTCTCTCTCTCTCTCTCTCTCTCTCTCTCTCTCCCTCTCTCTCTCCCTCTCCCCCTCTCCCTCTCCCTCTTTCCCTCTCTCCCTTTAGCAAATGACCCAGAATCATTGATAGTCCAGTGGTATACAATTTAATAAATCATTATGATTGGTTGCATAGTCAGCCAGATGTTTAGAATGGATTTGGCCATTTCCCAAAGACCTGGGATGGGCAGATGTGGGTGTTTGATGGGGTTACAAATATGGTTGCAGGATGTAAGCCATAGCTAATAAAACCTGCCTTTTGCAATTGACGGTGAATTTGGTCAATGCTGATGGTAGTCAAGTGTTTCAAAGAATAAATTATGGTTCATCACACGGCTAGATGTTCGTACTGGATTTGGCATTTTTGTCCACCTATGGAATCCTTCCCATGGAGCTAAAATAGGCAGATGTTGTTGTTCGATGGCCTCAAAGCTGTCCCAAAGATGCTTTTTTTAAGAGACTTTCTGGTTTTTTCTTTGAAGACGTTTCACTCCTCATCAGAGAAGCTTCTTCAGCTCTGACCAAAGAAACGAAAAAGGACGTAGGCTGTTCAAACTGATGCAGAGCTTGCCAAATACTGATGGTGTTCAAGTGGTGCTCCAGATGCTTTGGGATCGCACCAAAGGGAGTTATTGGTCCTGAGCATACATTTATCCCCATGGCAAGAAAAATGACCAGTTGACATAGACGTTGAAAGGTTGATGGTACCACTTCTGCTGCAAGGACCTTTTTCAAACGAAGCCCATCAAATCCCCCAAAATGCCTTCGTTGCTAATGCAAATCCAAGAGGGGGAAAGAGCCAAGAAGTAGGAAATCCCACGGAACTCCCCAAGACTAGAAACCCGGACGAGGTGCATCTGGGCTGGCGCGCAATCGTGATTTCTGCACCGGGCATTTGGGAATCCCCAGATAGGCGATTTGGGAAGCAAAGAAATGCCAATTTAGGGCCGATTTTGGGGCGGCGGCGGCCCCCACGACCCCGCACCTGCAGCAGGGGAGGCGGGGATCCACGAGACCCCGCCCACTCGCCCGCCACACACACCCCTCCCCGGGCCCGCACGTGGAGAGCCGGCCCGGGGAGGCTCACCTGTGCCAGGCGGCGCAAGCCGCCCCCCTGCCGCCTTCACCCCCCAGAGGAACCCTCGAAGCCCCCTGGCTCNCTCCCCTGGTCCTTCTTTTCATTAGATTAGACATACCCAGTTCCTGCAACCATTCTTCATATGTTTTAGCCTCCAGTCCCCCAATCCTCTTTGTTCCTCTTCTCTGCACTCTTTCTAGAGTCTCCACATATATTCTTGGATCTCGTTTAGACTTCAAACATGGGGCGCCCCAAATCAGAAAAAAAATATTAGCTTTCCACCTTTCATACACATTACTGGACCTAAATCAAAATGAAAACTGAGTGAAAAATATCCCAAATTAGAAACAGCAAAACAAAAAACAAAAATAAGATATAAAATAGCAGCCGAGACCCCTCCTGACATCCCAAATTCAATAGAACCGAAACTAAGAAAAGCATTCAATTGTACGATTGTGGAGGGCCGTGTTGGCGAAACAAAGTTTTTCATGCCAAGTTGTTACGCCTAGTTTTGCCAAGGGAACAAAAATTGGTACCAAGAAAATAATCACAACAATGCCACCATGTTCTGCGGAGAATTATAATGCACAGCACACAACAACAACGATGTACTGCTAACTAGGGCGTGCAAAACCTTTGCCAGACCAATCCTCGAATACAGCTCGTCTGTCTGGAATCCGCACTGCATATCGGGCATTAATACGATCGAGCGGGTCCAGAGGGATTTCACGAGAAGAGTCCTCCACTCCTCTGCTCACAACAGAATCCCTTACGCCACCCGGCATGAAATTTTGGGCTTGGTCAATCTGGAACTACGCCCGCCTACTTTCCGACCTGAGTGTAGTACACAAAATTGTCTGCCACAACGTCCTACCTGTCAACAACTACTTCAGCTTCAACTTCAATAACACACAGGCAAACAATCAATACAAACTCAAGGTCAACCGTTCCAAACTCGATTGCAGAAAATACGACTTCAGCCACAGAGTGGTCAACGCCTGGAATGCTCTACCTGACTCCGTTGTTACACCCTCAAACCCCCATAACTTTCCCCTAACACTGCCTGCTGGGACTTCACCCCATTCCGAAGAAGTCCGTAAAGGGGGCGTGCATAAGAGCACCAGCGTGCCTTCCGTCCCTGTCCTACTTCCCCACTCATTCGTATCCATTTCCTGTGTTCATAATCATTGTTTATACTTATATCTGTTATCGTTTACATGTTTGACAAACTAAATAAAATAAATAAATTTAAAAAAAGATATCCCTTCCTTCTCCAAGGAACAAGGAAGCAGCTGCACAAGATCAGTCGCAGCCCCAAATTTCGGTTGCTAAGCGAGACGCCTGTGAAGTTAATTTTGTCCCATTTTACCACCTTTCTTGCCCCAGTTATTAACCAAATCACACTGCCGTTGTTAAATTAGTAAGCACAGTCGCAAAGTGAATCTGGCTTCCCCGCTGAATTTGCTTGTTAGAAGGATGCAGAAGGGGGGGGGATACATGACCCCGGGGCACAGCAACGGTCATAAACATGAGTCAGTTGCCACGGATCTGAATTTAGATGACACAGCCACAGGGATGCTGCAAAAGTCATAAGCTACTTTTTTTTGCACTGCCATTGTGCACTTTAAGCGGTCATTAAGTGAATTGTTGTAAGTCGAGAACTACCTTTATTTTTCTGGCTGGCCATCTCATCCCATGACTGTGGGCAGCCCTGCGTTCCCCTGCGGTGGCTGAAATTATGCCTGTTATTTCGAATATAAATAACAGCCCACCTTGTGTTTTTTCCTCACCTTCTTTTCCAACCTCTGTGCTGCTAAGAAAATATTCGCCAAATTTGGGACCCTGTGCCAAAGAGCCATTCCAGTGTCTTCCTGCAATGTTCCCCGTGGATTTAAACCCAGAACTTAAATCTCCTGGGGGAAGTAGTTTGAACAGACTGGGAGGAAGGGGGCATTTTAAAAAAAAATCCCTTATTAGAATGTATTGCCACGAGTCCACTAATTTAAGCATGTTTAAGTGGGTTTAGCATGGCCTTGAAAGAGCAGAGGATGACATTACTTTCAACCATGTATTAATATCCCCTTCGATAACCAAGTTGGTGAGGAATGGTAGAGTGGGAAGGGGGTGGATTGTTTAATTTTTCAGAGTAGTTCTCCCCGCTTTTGGGGGAAAGGAAGCCGCAATGCATGCTGGGAGGCAGCGTTGATTAACGTGCAGAGAGAGCTTAATTCATCAAAATCCAAACCAGATCAAGAAATGGGGGAGGCTAAATATGCTCCCACCTGCGTGTCACAATTTGAGAAGACCTAAAGGGGGGTTTCTCACCTTCAACTGTTTTTAAGATTTGGGGGTTTCAACTCCCAGAATTCCCCCAAGATGCCAGCTGAGGAATTCTGGGAGTTGATGTCCACATGTCTTAAAGTGGCTAAGGCTGGGAAACTGACTGATTCCCTGGTATTCCTCGACTTACGACCACAATTGAGCCCCAAATTTCTGCTGCTAAGCGAGATAGTTGTTGAGTGGGTTTTGACACATTTTACGACCTTTCTTGCCCCATTGTTAAGTGAATCACTGCAGTTGTTAAGTTACCAACATGCATGATACACGACTCTGGCTTCCCCGTTGATTTTGCTTGCCACAAGGTAACCCCAGGATGCTGCAACCGTCATAAATGTCAGTTGCCAAGCATCAAAATTTTGATCACTTGACCATGGAGACACTGCAGTGTGAAAACTGGTCATCAGTCCATTTTTTGTGCTGTTGCAGCTGGTCACTAAACAAATGGTTGTAAGTCAAGGACTACCTCTCTTTTACTACTGCTATGCTTACATTTCTTTTCATTTATCTTTATTTAT